TAACATAACACTTAAAAAAAAATTTTTACCAACTAGTTTATTCATTTAATCCGTGTTTATTTTAAAACAATTTTACAATTTTAAGGGATAGGCATAGATAGTGTCTTTTTTATTATCTTCTACTCATTTAAAAATTTAAATAGATACCTATGATRTATATGATCCCGAATCCCAATGKAGGCAATGGTAATATTTTTGCTTTCATCTATCTTTCWTACGTGGAAATCTAAGCAGAAGACCCTAAAAAAGGTGACAATTACCATAGTGCCTACATTTCTGAACCTATGACCACATTAACCAATATTGTATATCATATGAGTAAAATTAGAAGGAATAATCATTAACTTCCTACCTATAATGTCTAGATTTCCTAGCAAAACATGCCTCGATGAAATAKCACTTCCTTTTAATCACAAATTATGTACATTATACAAACAATTTAGTCGAAAACACAACATTATTTAAAACTAAAAATGTCAGCAATCACTAAATCACTGCTATAGTAACTTTTTGTTGAAACTAATAAAAGTAAAAGTAAAAATAAACATTGCTAAATAATACCATCCCTTCTCCCCATTCTAATCATGAATACTATGGTCAATAACTCGCCACTAAAAACTTGAGAGTTCCACATTCGTTGTGTAAATGTAACTACGGGTCGCCAGTCATTCAAACCAAATCCCACTCTAATAATTAACAATGAAATCTCAATTCATAAACTCCCTGATGAATTTAAATCCACTTATAGAGCTCAACATCACTGATCTCTCAAGTCTCATAAAGACCAAAACTGTCTACCAATATTAACATGGTGCCGTTACCAACAGATTGTTTAACTCCCACTGCTTAACACCATAAATTCCCACCAATATATAACTCAAAAACCAACTTCCCCTCTGTATAAAGTTAGTTTATAATTCTATTTTATCTTCTTCGCCTTTAATCTTCACTTGTACTTATTGTAAATCAGATATTTACAAATTATACGGTTTTCAAATAAAAAAATAATGATCATATGAAAAAAAAATCGCATAACGTTACTAACGTTATTTGYAACACATGTTATGCGATTAAAYTATATATTTGGGCATAATTTAAATATGTGTGCAGAAAAACATATTAAACCTCAAAAGTTCATCGTATGTAACTTACGTTACACGGGCTTCTATAATATGATTTATAATATTATTTAAACATATTAATGAACAAACTCGACTCACACCATGTGTACCGAGCGTTTTGAACATAATATTATGATATATTATATTATTATTATTATTATTATTATTATTATCGTGGTTTGAAAACTATAAATTTGGTTGAACGCTAAACTTAAAGTTCACGATATGTTATTATGTTAAATAATAATAAAATGTAGTCCGGGAAATGCGACAAGTGTTGTTAAATATAT